TACCCATCAATGATTTCCTTCACAGGACCCAAATCAAGCCGTCCTCACATAAGGGTTCGTCTGACTCATCAAATGTTTCAAACCAACTCATACATTCCAAAGGACATATAGAAGAAACTGTAAGATGTCAGTTGTCAAACAGACAACAAAACACAATTGCATGCATTGGTGCAAAAATATTTCCAATGTTCCATTTCCATATTCTCAGTCACACATTAAGTTATGTTATTTGCCAGTATTTGTGACAAATGATTTGCAACCGGACAACATGCACAGCTATTGCTGCTCATAGATTTCAAAACGACTCTCTTCTAGGAAATGCATTCTTTTCTACATGAGCACTGTGGATGCCCAATACCTATTTCTGTTATAAAATCGGAAACCAAGCTGCCTGGTAGAAATAGTAGAAGGTGTAACATCCCAAGGGACCAATACAGCAGGAATAAAAGGTGTCTTACCTCTTTTTGGTTTGGAGAAGCTTTCGTGCAGGTGAAAAACCACTTTCTCCACAAAGTGCTGGATGTTGCTCTGCTCCGGGCCACGGACAAACACCATCCAGTCGTGGGTGAAGCCTTCCACGGTGGGTTTCTTCCTGACCTGGGCACGGTGACCGAGTTCTAGTTTCACCTGAACAGCACCCTGAGAAATCAAAACCATGCTGGGCTATTACTCAAATCCAGAAAAGTACACACAAAAGATGCACACTATTACGCATGTTGGACAGTATGTAAGAATTTGTAGCCCAGAATCTTTTCGATGAAAGATTAAAACCCTATCAGCGGGGTTCAAATCAACACTTCTATGAATTGATGCTGCTTTCACTTTTCCAGAATATCATACAGTCAGTGGCCTGCATGTGTTCCTCCTGCAGGGGAATGTCATTCTAACTCCATTTCATCTGATCATTCAATTACATTTTAAGACCCTACACAAAAAAACACACCTGCATGAGCATGCTCTTTAATTATAGGCTTTGGCATACATTAACACAAAGGTGGGAATTCATTAAGTACATTTACTCAAGTACTGTTCTTAAGTAACATTTTGAGATACTACATTGCATTCTACTTTTTACTTTTTTGAGGTAAATGGTGTACTTTTACTCCACTACATGTATTTAATACCTTTAGTTACTTTACAGATGTGGATGAATTATGTGAAATATAATCAAGTGTTAAATCAGACTGTAGTTCCACCTGGAGTAAAGTCACAAGCTACCCTGCAGTATACAAAGTCATTCAAACTAGCTGCACCTTTGAGCTTTGAGAACACTTTAATTATCAATCATTATAAAACATATCATATATATTATTCTGAAATGGACCAATCTGCACAATGACTGCTTTTACTTTTGGTACTTTAACTATATTTTGATGATTATACTATTCTACTTTTAGTTGAGTAACATTTAGAATGCAGGACTTGTACTTGTACAGAGTATTCATACTCTCTGTTACTTTTGATCTGAGTACTTTCCCTCTGTCTGCATGTCTTCCTCCTGCAGGAGAACCTCATGCAGACTCCATCCAACAATCTGATCAATTAATTACATTTGTTTTGCATGAGCATGCCGTTTGATTATAAGCTTAAGCATACATTTACATATGTAATATATAAACCACTCATTAAATAGCCTAGTTACCATTTCGAAAATCTTCATATTTGTTAAAATTGCTCCCGAAGTTTTCTACAAAGTGGTAAAGTGACCGTTACATGTGTAACATTATGCCGAATTGTAGGACGGACTGTAACCCCAATTGGAAAATGCTTTTAGGAAATTATCAAACGTATTTCTGCAGGTAAGGAGCAGCACATTAAACTGGCAGGTTTCTGCATTACACTGGTCATTCAGCACGCAGTGGCTCTTGCTAGCTGCAGGGCTTAAATCCTCGTTCCGGAGTAAAACCACAGACTCCTCCGGGGAGACCAAACAGCAAAATGTCCAAAAAAGATGCTCCAATGGTACCGGGCTGAGAAGCTAATCTCCCGACTGGTTACTCACCGAGTTGGCCATCCTGGAGGCCCCGTGTTACTGTTATTTCATGGAGAATGAGTTCTAAATGAGAGCAGAGGTGAGTACAGTGTGACTGTGACGGCGGACATGGTATCTCCTGACTGAAGGCACACTCAAGACTTGCAAAGCATTGCCGGCTGTCAATTAACGAGAATAACCGGCAGCACTTCTGCTGTGGACTTTCAAAATAAAACCCCTGCAGTGCGGCCCTTCTCAGTGTGCCGCCCTAAATATCATAACAAGATCTTTGAAGCTGTTCTTCCATTTCTCCGTGAAGGGACATGGTGTTTGTATTTTATTTACTCTAGTCTAGATATGGATCTTGTAGCTGCATGTGAAACGGCTGTAATATAAAATCTGCTCTTTGCCCATGTCTATCAGGGACTGCTCTCAAACACACTGGTAGACAAAGATATGAATCTGCTAACAGAACCAGTTGTGGTTAGGAGGATCATATACTTCACAAAACGGTTTATATTCTTTATTGCTATCCCCTCTGAATTTTGTTTAACGACACCAACAACAGAAATCAACATTAAGTACAACTTTATTACCTGACAATCTATCCAATAAATAATATTATTTTCTTCTGTCGATTATTTAGGTAAGCCTAGGTAGGTAGGTAGGTAGGTAGGTAGGTAGGTAGGTACTTTATTCGTCCCAAATTGGGATGAAATTGTAATCTTTATTGGTGGAAGCAAGTATAAACATAATGAAAAAATATTTAAAATGTATTCAGTTTATTAAGTGTAATTGCAAAGGGGTTGTAATTACAAACATGATGCTCTAAATGTTGGGAATGGGAAGGAGTTCCTTTTTTAATCTGGTGGGCAATGTATTTATCTATTATTGTAAGCCATATTTGGTTGAATTGATAAATGTTGCTTCTTAAAAAGTTCCCAATGTGCCTACAGAATACAGCAACTTCACATCACAGTTTGTTACAGTGTAGTGTGAGAACGTGGGAAGACTGGTTGTCTGCTATTCTCAATACTTAATCATCAGATTGAGTGAGTAAAGCCATTCATCGGCCCCTAGGTGTTTCATGTTAAAGGGGCAAACCTGTAAAACAGAAAACAGGTTGTTTGGCCTTGTTTGCTGGTCTGCTGTGCTATAACGTTTATTTACAATAAATGGTATTCATGTCATGTGACACATATGGATCTTGTAGCTGCATATGTGAAACGGCTGTAATATAAAATCTGCTCTTTGCCCACGTCTATCAAGGACTGCTTTGAAACACACTGGTAGATAAAGATATGAATCTGCTAACAGAACCAGTTGTGGTTAGGAGGATCACAGGTTTATATTCTTTATTGCTATCCCCTCTGAATTGTGTTTGACAACACCAACAACAGAAATCAACATTAAGTACAACTTTATTACCTGACAATCTATTCAATAAATAATATTATTTTCTTCTGTCGATAATTTTTTCATTATTTTATATTGTATTTTAAATGTTGCTGTTTCCGGTATTTCCTTGCGTCAATTCGGCAAAATGAACGATGCTGAGTTGGAAAGCGCACGCGCAGTTTGGTGTACACGCTGGGGCTTCAGACAGAGCACGAGACGGGAAGAGCCAATAAGTGAAGAGCAGACACACAGTCCTCCAATGAGGTGGGAAGAACTATCCTGTAATTATGTTGCATTCATGTCCCAAGGGAAAACCGGCAAATAAAGCATGTTTAGCAGTGTTAACGAGATGTTTCCGTTTAAAGCAGTCAAACACCCACACCGTGCAAATTGTGGGATTTAAATTGTACATTTGGCAACACCTGACTTTCAACAAAGAAAGCTGAAACATAACTTTTACAAGATTCTTTTACACAAAGACTGTCATTTTTATAGGAAACATTTATCAGGGTGATTCTAGGGTTAACTTCACATTATTCTGACTTTCTTCATGTTTTGTAACGAGCCTCTTACTTTTAAACTTCACATCTTTAAGCTTTAGGGGCAGCAGCAACCAGAAACCCCCAAAATCTTTGTAATGGGAATTTAAAAATAACCATTGTATACTGTAGAACTAGCCTATATTGTTACCATCTGATCAGGTCACCCTTAATGTGACAGGAGTAACCTTAGAGATAAACTTCTCAATAGTGATAACACTTTTATTTTAATATGGGTAGCAATTAACCCCCTTGGGAACAGATGATGAGTACCATAGAATGAATATGGACGACATTACAGCTCCTGAGAGGAGCAGCCACCAGAGCTGGGAGAAGTATACTCAGATCTTGTACTTGAGTACAAGTAGAAGTATCAGAGTGTAATACTCTGTTGTGAGTAAAAGTCCTGCATTCAAAATGTTACTCAAGTAAAAGTAGAAAAGTATTAGCACTAAATATACTTACCAAGTACCAAGAGTAAAAGTAGCCATTGTGCAGATTGGTCCATTTCAGAATAATATAATATGATATGTTTTATAATGATTGATCATGAAAGTGTTCTCAAAGCTGGTAAAGGTGCAGCTAGTTTGAATGACTTTGTATACTGCAGGGTAGCTTGTGGATTTACTCCATGTGGAACTAAAGTCTGATTCAACACTTGATTATATTTCACATCATTCATCCACATCTGTAAAGTAACTAAAGGTATTAAATACATGTAGTGGAGTAAAAGTACACCATTTACCTCTGAATTGTAACGGAATAGAAGTAGCAAAACATGGAAATACTCAATTAAAGTACAAGTACCTAAGGGGACAGTAGCCTACTTGAGTAAATGGAGCCTACTTAGTTATTTTACACCACTGCTCAGTCCTCATGTCTCACTCTTTTCAAATATAATTATAATTCACTTTAAGAGGGAATTATTAAACCAGTTGTCAGCACTGAATACAAGCTCTGGTTTACACATCTATCTGCAGACATGCTATTCAAAGCTTCTTCTTCAACGATTGTTACACAGCGGCTGTTACGCCGTGCTGTAGTTTTTATAGTTCGCGTTTTGTGTGACAGTCGCTCTCTGTCAGTTTTGGTCCTCCATCCTCGCCGTAGTTGCATGTCAGTTTGCGGGAGGCTGGATCTGCATGAATGGGGTAAAGTTCTGCAAGCAACATGAATAACTTTTATTTACTTAAACTCATCCTCTAATATGAAGTTACCCAGGAATCACAGTGGCTTTATTAACACGAAAGCATGGCTAGTTGGTTAGCTAAGTGTTTGTGTAGATAACTCCATGTAGCTGTTATTAGCCTGTTCAGCTAGCTATTACTTATGTTGCGAGCTTCTGGGTAGTATTTTAATTTACTTTAATTATAAAGTAGCCTGTTGTCTAACATTTGTTTGTGCTATAGTTTTCTTAAGTGACTTCTTGTGTTGTATGTATGAATCGGATCAGCACCAGGATGACTAGCATAAGAAAGCGCGCTACATTGAACCTCTTTGAAAAATCCCACAATTTTATTTTCACTAGCCTTTTAGTAAAGACTGTTAATCTGAAACCCGCAACTAAGAGCACTGTCCTACAGAGCAGAGAGCACCCTTTAATTCGGTTTAACTATAATCTATCAAACATCACGGATTATACAAAAACAATCACTATTTTGCTGCCAAAATACACCATGGGCTGCAGCAGTGCAGTCAAACACCGGCTGGGCTTTATGGGAAACAGAGGAGAAGTACTCAGATCTTGTACTTAAGTAAAAGTAGAAATACCAGAGTGTATGAATACTCTGTTAGTAAAAGTCCTGCAATCAAAAATGTTACTCAATTAAAAGTATTAAAGTACTTTTGTACTTTTACTAAAGTAGAAACATATTAGTATCAACATATTGTCATTCTGCAGAGTGGTCAATTCAGAATAATATATATATGTTTTGATTATAAATATTGATGCATTAAAATGTTATCAAAGCCCGTAAAGGTGGAACACATTTTAATTATTTGTATTTACTTCTGGGTAGCATGTGAATTTGTGTTTGAAATTATATATCACATCATGTTAATGAAATTGAAAACGTATTTGTGTATGCGTCCCATGTGTTGGATACGCTTTAAATGTATTTGTTTTTTCCTTGGCCCATGCTTTACCCTTGCATAAAGTTGAATGTGTTGATTGATGGTATTTGGAGCATCTGTTCATAATTAAATCTCCACAGGGTGGCTTTGATTAATCAGGTTTGAAATATGTCATTTTGTTTGTGGTGCTTCCAGGGTTGAAGGCCACGTGTCTGTCTGGCATGTGCAGAGTGCAGCAGAGAGTCCCACAGTCAAGCCTGTGGGTGGTTTCTAAAGCTCTGTTGGCTCAATACGGTTCCTGCTTTGTCCTCTCTTCTATTGCTAATGCAGAGCTAGCAGTACAGGCCAGCCTATATTGTTTTGCTGTCCGGTACAAACTCTGTAGAAACAACTGGACCGCTTTGTGTACAAACATTGTTTTAGGTTTAGCTGACAATTGAGGCTCTTTTAGGGTTATGAATAGTTTTTAGTTAAATATTGACAGTCTTTAAATTACTGAAAAGGCCAGCTATTTCCAAACTATAGCGGTCCTCTAAACCATGAAGGGAGTTGTTTTATTTTTTCACCTAAAACACCTTCACACCTTGTCAAACGCTTAAAGACTCATTAAAGAATGTAAGAAATAAAAGCATTGACATTCAGATATTTCATGATCAGCAACCACGTAGTCTAAAAACATCGGTTAATAAGCACACGACAGAGATAGTGTCAGTTTTTTTTGCGTAGTAGCAGGTGCTGCTCACTTACCTGTCTGTGAAGCAGAGAGTGTGTGTGGAGCGTACAGCAGCAGCAGTGTGTGTGTGGAGCGTACAGCACGGTGGGGGACAGTTCAGCAGGGCAGGCTGACTTATCAGTTAGATAACAGCCAGGGGGGGGTTGGGTTTGGGGTCTGTTTTACATAAATTACATTTATTATACCAACACATTTCACAAAACTGTATTAAGTTAGTTGAAAACAATAATGTTAAGTTGAACCCAATATTATTTCTTTCAACTAACCTAATGTAGTATATACTTAATTAAAGTCAACTTTTCAGTTTTTTAAGTGTGACTAAAATGTTCCCAGTCAATTAAGTATTTCTGATTCTGATAATCTGACCATACAGATTTCTGATCAATAATCATCAGTTATGGAGATATAATGACCTAGTGGGTATAGAGAAATAATAAGAAATTGAAAATGACATCACTTACTGTAATGCAACCTTTAAATCCAGGAAAAGTCAACAATTATGCCATATAACAATATCCATAATCTGACCCCATGTCTGTCTCGTATCAGTCAGTCAGTGAGTGTTGGTCTGCTGACGACTTCTGAATAATTGAATGAAAATGATGTCAGGGCCACAAGCCAATAAATAGAAAACACATGGCAGGGTTCAGGTTTCAGAGGATGGGTGCTGCAGACCTCCATTGATGCTCCGCAGCAACAGGTGGCTGCACCACTCTGCTTCTGTTTCAAAGGCTGACTCCACGATATGTGATATTCTTGATTTAAGTAAAAAGGTAGCACGGAGCCCTCCTGGGATTCTAACACTGGTTACTGTCATTCAGCTGTGTTCATATATTCTGATGGAGTTTCTGCTCTCAGGCGCGACCCGCAGGTATGATGGAGGGTCTGAAGATACGCTTTGATTTCCCCAGCCCTGTCATACAAGCCCAGGTAAGTCACTGGCTGTTTCTCAATCGCGAGTACACCTGCTGCAGAGCAACTATTTCAAGTATACTACGTCATACAGTGGCGCCGAAGGACTGTTTAAATGCATGTTAAAAGCCCAGCATTCTGCCCCACTCTATGACGTAGCATACTTGAAATAGTTGCTCTGCAGCAGGTGTACTCGCGATTGAGAAACGGCCACTGAGTACGTTATCTGTGAGTGTATACGTATATACAGTACCAGTCATGAGTTTGGACACACCTTCTCATTCAATGGTTTTTGTTTATTTTAACTTTTGTTCTACTTTGTAGATTAATACAGAAGACATCAAAACTGTGAAAGAACACATATGAAATTATCTAGTTAAAAAAATCCAGAATATGATTTATATTTGATATTCTTCAAAGTAGCCCCGTTTTGCCTTGATGACAGCTATGCTCACTCAACATCATCTGGACTGGTTTTCAATTAACACGTCAGGAGTACATTTGTGGAATGACTTGCCTATTGAATGTGTTTGAGACCATCAGTTGGTAGGGATAGTGCACAGTGGAAAGCCCTATTTGACCACTGTTGTAATCCATATTATGGCAAGAACCACTCAACTCTCCCCCGGGAGAGGAAGACCAAAAGACACCTCTGCTGCAGAGGATAAATACATAAGAGTTACCAGACTCAGAAACCGCAAATGAAATTAAAATAGAAGATGACCTTTTTTCTCCCCAGACGGTGAGAACTCTTGTTGCTGCTGTGCTGAAGGAGAAAGGCTCCAATGGGCCGATCACACAGTCCTCTCCTCAGGTGAGCTCCAGAACCATTTCAGTCTGTGGCTTATGACCTTATGAAATATCTTCCCATCCCTTTTCTAAAAACTGTGATTGTTTCATTTGTTGGAGTTGCTGCCTAATTATGTAGCATTTCTATAAACAGCTTACATTAAAACAACAACTTTTCAGCTTTACTCCCCAAACATGGTAATATTGTTGGTGCTGCTGGATGGATTTGTGTTTTCCTCAGAGCAAATCCCAACAACACAGAGCAAATCCCCCCACGCCCCCCTTATTTTGGTGATGGCAGTCAATTTTACTGGTCTTTTTTAACTGCTCTTGCATTAACACAAAAACTATTAAAAATCGCCAAATGTTATCAAACAACAAAGTCTTCGTGTACTGGTGGTATACATGAATAACTGCAGTGCAAATACAAAGAATAAACACTGAAAATGTATTCCAAAATGAACATGTTGTTGATTTGGTTGTGTTCTCTCTGATGGATGAACACAATCTAGGGTTACCCATTCATTTCCAATGGCGCTCATCTTTGACCAGGAACACCATAGGTATAGTTTACTAACCCACAACAAATTCAATGAAAGGTGTGATAGGCAGTTTAATACGTTTAAATGCCTACTGTGAAGGATATCATAAGGGCTTGAAACAATCAAATGTAAAACAAGATATTTATGAAAGTAGTAACTCGGTCAGATTTGTCCCGAACACGACAGGAGGGTTATAGGCTAGATCTGGATCTATTTCTTAAGTTGTGTGTGTGTGTTTCAGGGTCCGGCTCTGGAGGCTCTGTGGCAGCAGTGCTGCAGTGACGACTCTCTGGTGCGCTCCTCCTGCTGCGACGCCGTGTTCCTGCTGGTGGAGCAGCATTATGCAGAGCTGCAGCACGTCCTCCACAGCGTGCTCAACCTGCTTCCCTCCGCCAGGTACAGTCACACCTCTCACCTGGGCTCAGAGGCACCTTAAAGTAGACTGTACACAGGGTTAATGTCAATATGTTTCAGGACAAAGTTTCAGTAACCCTTTACTGAATCTAACTTTCCTTGTACATCTTAGCAAAAGCATTTATTTATTTGTGTAAGCGGGTGATACAAACCATGTACATCACATTCAAATTCACAAAGTTATGATGTATAAAGCAAATGCTGACTAAATCCCCATTTCCATCCCACCACTCACTAACCGGTTAACAAGTTACACTGTACATAAGTCCTGGATTCATAATAATAAAATAGAAATGTAGTTCATCAGCAATGGAGAAGAACAAGTGTGTGCAGTAATGATTGTTGGTTAAGTTTGAAATGAAAGAAAGTTCTACTTTTATGTGTGTCCATAAAATGTTCCCAGGAGTACCCTCATCATTCTCACTCTCAGCTAGTCAGCAGAATCTCGTAGGATGCAGCCGTGGTATTGACCCATTCCTTCAAAATCTGGAGACTTGTCTATTTTACAATGTCTTAGGATAATCCTGGACGCTGTTATCAAACCAACCATGATAACAGAAAATAACCTTTTTGTAATATGCACTGAAAAAACGAAACATTTAATTTTAAAATGGGACTACATCTACAGGAAGTGACTGAATAAACTCTGGCAGACAGAGTGTACTGGTTCTTTGATCAAGTACGGCATCTTTATACAGAAGCATAATTCAGCCCTCAGTAAATGGACACTCCCACAGTGTCCTTGCCCCCTCTGCTGACTGTGATCCATTAACCCCCCCCCCTGCATCCCCATCAGAGAAGGAGGATAAAGTCTTACTGCAAAGTGACCTTTTCTGTTCTCCATAATATGACTCGTCGTAAATGGGATTTGTTGGGTCGGCATTTTGAATGACCTTTTGCCAATGGTTGGTAGGACAATAAATAATTCGCCATAATCCTTTTTACACGCCAAAATACTGGACCGTATATCTGCACTGCACCATCAATATGTTGATATGAACAATACATATAGTGACTATGTGGAATGGGAAAGAGGTATTGAGGAATCCACAGAATACGATCTGTTTCCCTCACTGCTATGAATGTTTCAAGCATCTTTTCAGTTCATGTTTTATGTTTCAGGCCCACAATAATACTCCTGAAGGTCTGTGGCCGTTCTCCTATTACCCCATTTGTTGTGAATAATCTAATTATAAAACCCTAATGGAAGTGTCAACTCTAGCATAACTCTAGGGAGACTTTTTACTATTAAATATACCCAGCACCTTTCTGTCATCATGATGCTTCCTAAGCTAGCAATACAGTCTCATGTGAGCTGAAACAGAACAGACTGCTCCACACCATAATGATGACAAACATTTTCCATGTTCTTTCCCTGACATTTGAAACACATACTCTTACTTACAGGGGAAGAATTGGGTGGTGCTGGGGGAAAAAGCAATGGAATTCTTCCATTGGATTTTGGAATAAAGCAGAAATGAAGTTCTGTGGCAAACACACATTCATGATTCTTACAGGACAGGACAGGTTCATCTCCCCATATCAACACTCCTTTCATGTTTTCTTTAGCGTACATGCAATAGGCAGATAAAAAAATCTAACGTAATCTAACAAACATCGTCAAACTAAAGGCGGACCGTTTGGCGTGAGGTTTTTTTGTCTCTTTTAGACACTTGTTAGCTACTGGACACAACGCACAAACTATGGACATTCACAAGTGGGATATTTACTGACGTTGTGGAACGAAATGTGTTTCATCTTGTGTTAACCTCAGACTTGATTTTAGGCATCTAATCAAAATCTTCCAAAATGTGTTGACTATGAAACAAGGGAACCAAACGTGCTAAAATGCCAACTCATTTCCAGAGTTGAGGACTCATTCCTGCACCACTCTATACTAGGGTTACAAAGGGGCGGAAACTTTCCGGTAAATTTCCGGAAAGTCCCCATGGGAAGTTAAGCAGGGGAATTTTGGAAATATTCGATGCAAAATTAAACAAAAAACAGGGCATTTCAACACATTTTTTTTTTTTTTTAAGTAGAATAGAACACGTTTTAATTATTTTATTGAACAATTATTTGTTTCATTGAAGAACGAAAACAGGAATGTTGAGTTAAATATTACTCATCCCCCCCAACCCCACTCATTAAAAAATGATCAAAAATATACCCCCCATCCAAAAATCCCCACAAAGTCCCATTCAAAATGTTAAATGAAAAGATGTGGCTTCATTTTTCTTGTGCTTTGGGCTCAAAAGTGTGATCCAGTCTTCTCGAAATCGTCTGTGCATGTGATGGAGGAATGCACAGTGCCTGTAGGGGGTGTGGTCTCAATAGCCATGCAGTAAGCAGTGTGCTATGGCATGGATATTCAAGTGTAGTTGAATGGCATCTGTTTGTTTTAGTCAAGATTATGCTAAAATATACTTTCCCCAACTATATTTAAGTTCCCTATGAAGAGCCAACCTTCAATTTTGAAAATTCCCAGTTAATTCCCGTGGAAAGTTTCCATCTTTGAAAATTCCCGGAATTTTGCAACCTAATCTATACC